TGCTCACTATATATAGACAATACACTATGAATTGAATGCAATTGTAATTAAATGTAATTTTAATTGAAATCAATTCAAAATCCGTTCAAATGAGTGATGAAATCAAAAACAAGTCAATGAATGAAATATTTTCAAAAATGTCTATTGGGTTCAGTGTAATAGAGGTGTTCACTGATGGCATGCAATTAGGGTTTTACAAATGAAATGGACCAATATGTCCGTCCAAAAAGTTTTAAATTTTTATTCTACAGTACACATCAACTTAGTTATGTTATCGAAGAGATTAGTTTAACATAAATTATAATTAATGAAATAAAATTAATGAAACGTTGAAAACTGGACGGAAGGACAGGTTTGCAATATGTACTGTCAATATGACATATGTCATGACATGTCATACTTGTCGAGTAAGCCACAGACGCGTGTAGAACGCTATATGCAATTCAATATGTGTTTGCATTGCTTTCAATGCATTCACACACCTCTACACTACACCTCTACACTGAGTGAATATATGACCAAAAAGGACACAATTTGTGACTGAATTTGCATTTCAAATGAAGTTCTTTGCGGCAAACGATTGATTTGGTGTCCAATTGAGTGACAGTTCACATCATGTCTCAGTCGAGTCACTCGTCTCAGAGCTCGAGCTCCGACTCACAGCTAATCAAAGCAATCGTCGAAAGTCTGAAATCTCGAGGAATTTTCGATGAATTCAGACGCGAATGCCTTTCGGACGCAGACACTAAGGTATGACCACCTGATCCATGACTACCTGATCCATGACTACCACATACTCACCACATGTCCATCACAGCCATCCTTCCCGAATCTGTTGCAGAGAGTGGAGGGCTATGTCTCGAAGTTCTTGAGTCAACAGAAGTGGAGTGAAAACATCAATAAAAACCAATTGAGAGAAAGACTTCGCAAACAAATCAATGAGTAATTGTTGTCTAACTTTGATCCCATTGTCTCACTAATGGTCTAACTGTCAGGTCATTGATGTTGAAGTACGGAATCGAGCATTTGGTGGAACAGGTCGTCACCTTTAAGATCAATTCACTGTTTTGGCCACAAATTGAAGACGTCGTCAAACAGTTTCTGGGGATCCAAGAGATGCCGACCACTGCTGTCGCCGCCCCTAACCCTGCGATGCAAAGCACCAAAAGTGTGTCCAAATCGAGCTCAAGAAGTAGTTTGAAAAGTGAGGAGAATATTGAGTTGAAAGTTAAGATCAAAGACGAACCCATGGATCTGAAAATGAGTGACGATTCCTCTCAACCAATGGACATCGAAACCGATTCCAACTCTTCGGTTGGAAAGACGGAACAAATGACTAAATTAGAGAATGAGAGCAATTCAGACAACGGTTACGTCGATTGGCCGACCCCTCCAAAGCCTGAAATGCTTACTCCAGAGCGACCGCCCATAGACTCCATAGACTCTACTAAATCCAGTGATCACTCGAAGGGTATCCATAAAAGTGAAGACAATGTGTTTCACGAAGGAATCAAAGAAAACGAGACTTTCTTAGTAACTAATATTAAGAGTGAAGTGACTTTTGCTGACAAAAGTGAAAGCATTAGTGAAACAAATGCTGTGAATATGAGTGCAAAGGATAGCTTGCAGTCAGAGAAAGACAAACCGACTGAAGAGTCGAACCTCTCAGACGTGAGTTCTGTTCATACGAGCGATTTGTCTGATTTTGATGACGAGATCTCTTTAGACGATTCCAATGATGAGAGTAAAGACAATAAGAAAAATAAGATTAGTTTAAAAGTTGTCAAAAAGATAACGGAAGTGCTATCCAACGAACAGATCAGTGACCGAAACATATGTCCAAAACCTTCACAACAGACACTATCCGACGAACAAAACATTGAAACAAATGTCAAATGCGAGTCAAAGAGAATCCGCAAAATTAATCCAAAGTATTCTTCCGAAGAATTTTCATCGATTTTTACAGAAAAGGATCGTCTGATTGCCGGCACTTCCAGAGAAGAATGGGACGAATCCAATGAAAACAGAATTTTGAAAACTGAAACAGAAATCACTCAAAGGATGAGTTCCAGAAGGAGAAGACAGTATTCAGAAAGTGATGGCAAAGAGTCTAATGATATGAGTCTTCGTAGCTCTAAAATAGTCAAAAGACAAGAGGACTTACCCCTAGACTCGAGATCATCTTCAAGGGGTTCTATCGAGAGTTCTTTGTCAATTCAGAAAGTGATGGCAAAGAGTCTAATGATATGAGTCTTCGTAGCTCTAAAATAGTCAAAAGACAAGAGGACTTACCCCTAGACTCGAGATCATCTTCAAGGGGTTCTATCGAGAGTTGTTTGTCTGAAACAACTCAAGACTCGACACAATCACAGAATAGACCCAAAAGGAAACTAAGCAAAGATAGGTTGGACTCTATTTTCAATTGAAACGTACGGATAGTTGTCATTACATTTGATTTGTTCCTAAATTACCAGAAATGAGTGTCAATCCAAGCGTTACGAGGCCTCAGATCTCTATAAACCGCGACGTTTTGTCTCATCGCGAAGAAGAGGTCAGACGACACCCGATTCGCAAGCGAATGAAGATTTTATTATTCATGATTTGTCCAAATAATGAGATTTCAGTGTATATTACATAAAAAGTAAATATTTTAAAATGAGTCAAACGTATTGAATACTGTAGTAAAATATATAGTAATTCAGTAAAGAGCGCATCATTAGGTCTCTTCAGGCACTAAAGTGATGGACAGTTTCATGTCTGTCCACTCAAACGTTTTCGGCAGATCCGTCTGCAAATGAGTGCAAGTTATGTATTAAGATATAGAAATGGATTCAATGAATATTGCATTTTAAATACCATATCGTTTTGGGACAACTCATCCAAATCTAATAACATGCGATCGATATAGTCATTAGGAATGAGCACTTGAAGCCATGGCCCGCGGATAGCATATCTTTGGCTCAATGAGACGAAAGATCCCGAAACCGATGGCGTCACCAAAGTTATGGCTAAGTCCCCAACTATGCTCTTAAACGTGAAATGTCTGTCGTGTTTGAGTCGACCCCTGTATTTAAAAGTCATAATATACGAGTAATTAATTTCAAATGACAATTATAACAGCAACCGGTTGTCCAGTACTTCTTATAGTGTTATACTGACCGCAAGGCTAATGGCAACAGAAGTCCGGCCTCTAAATTGAACCTTAAGTTTAATCGTTTAAGATATTGGGTTTGAATGAGTTCTCCCGGCTCTGGAGCACCCGTTTCACTGGCGAAAGACATTCTCGAATTGCATTGATTTTGCTGGTCGTGGGAGACAGACATCGCAGAACTGCAACTGTTTCTGCTTTGAGGGTATTTGTGAGCCGCGGAAGACATACCGTTCCGTTTGTTGTGTTCGCCATTCATGATCTTCTCATTATTCTCATTATTAGAGTCCGAGTCGTTGTCTTCGTTGTCGGGTTCACTGCTATGTTTGTCATCACTGGAGACCGAGTCCTGACTCCAATCACATCTCGCGCTAACTCCACTCAAATTGGAGCCCTGAGTGGCGATGCCGTCGTCGACCGCCTCTTGGAGTTCGGGCTCGAGTTCGAAGATTGTCTCTCCTCTTCGCATGTCTGTCACTAACCACTGCCCGCCCGCACCGGCAACCGATCGCATTAAGTCTATAACTCCCGGTCCGTTCCACTGCTGAGCGGCCTGTAGTTCCTCTAAACAGACGCCTACTATTTGGATGAAAGTGACGGAACCGAAGGGAGTGACAGTCTGTGGCAACTGTGGGTCTTCTGTCATAAGCATGTGTTGTATTCGGGACTCACTGTTGTCGAGAGGGCAGTGCCACTAAAGTTACGGTAATAGTAATAACTGTGACAATCACCATATTTGACCAGTGTAGTTTTAATTGGGCTAAAAAGTTTACTAAAAGGGGTACTAAAAGGGGTACTAAATACTTATATAACTAAAACAAATACCGACCGACACGTGATCCCCGCCGCACAACAGGTTGTCCGACTGGAAGACATACTTCGCGAGCGCCTGCATCACCGCCGCCGGCCATGTCGGAGGACTCATCTCTTCGGGTTCGCGCTTCAGACGGAACGTCAACTCAAAGCCAAAACCACTCGGAGTTTGAGATCCAGTTATTCTTCAAACAAAACAAAATGTGTTACAAATACACAGCACTTGAAGACACTAATCAATGGCTCACTCGTGAACCCTTCCATCGCCGTGAAGATCACTCAACCCAAAGCTAATGTAATGCCAATGCGGGGGCACATTGAGAGCCGGGTCACCCGAGTTGGCATACATCGAGATGTAGTCCAGAGGGTCGGGTCCGCCCAACCTGTCGGTGCAATCATTGGGTAAGTGATGGTCCAAGTGTTCATTAGTGTCATATGAATGGATATGTTTACCAATACTTAAGAACAGCTGTCACTTGCAATGGATTGGTTTGATTGGGATATACCCTCAAACAGGTCTCATACAGTGACTGTAGTCCGGGTGATATGAGTGATGGAAGTGCTTGCGATGGCATTGTGTTGTTCACTAAACCAGTTATGCCTCCACTCGAGCCATAAGTTGTGCCGAAGTACTGGTCTCTCGACTCTTGCATTTGCGCTCAAATAGTCTTCAAGCGATTCATTCAAATGTAGTCCAAGAAGTGGAAGAAGTGATGAGATAATGATTGCAAGAAGTGATGAGACAATGAATGCATGGGTTGTCCACTGATAGTCCACTCACTCATCACTGCATTCTCACAAATGTTTATGTTTTTTGTTATTTGGTTGCAAATGAATGCAAACATAAATGACTCGCCAATTGGCATATCATGTATGACACGATTACTGTGTCTGGAAGTGCTGTTAAATTGAAATGATGACACAATTGCATTGAGATATCTGTACAGATAATGAGGATGTGCTCATGTGATCCATATATGACAGCTCGTGACTGGTGTGGATGTGTTTGTGGTGAGAGTTTGTGTGTATTTATGGACATCACTAGTGGACAGAGTTTGGGCGAAAGCACACGAATTGAATGCATTGAGGGGTTGTTTGCAGTGTTTGTATGGTTTGTGTTGTTATCATAATAACTGTTTCTAACCTAACATACAATCAAATGAAATGATTGTTTTCAAATGTATTGTCCACTCAGTAGTTACACAACAGTTAATCACATTTTAGTACTGATTTTGCTTTCAATGGTTTAACTATTGTTTTGCGCCAAACACTGTAATCATCATTAATTGCAAATATATTTCCATTCAATTCATACATAATTTGATTTTCAATTCAATTTGTAATAACATTGCTTTGCATTGACGTGAAGTGCCTTTAAGTGCATTCAATTGGTTTACTAATTGTATTACTACTGTATTGCAAATTATATCCAATTTAATGATATCTTATTGCTATTTGGGTTGAGATCACAAACCATTGAAGACATGTCTGAAGAGCTGGTAATTGCATTTGAATCACTTGTTCGTCAATACTGTGGTACTGATGATCGATATGTGTTATGTCTAGGAGTTGGCACAACTGGAACTGCTGTGCAAACAGTTGTACTCATCGACGGACTCGAGTGAGCGGACCAAAGCGGAGACCACACTGTCCTTGCTCACTCAATCGCCATCGTGTCTCAACAAATGCCAGTTACTGCTCGAGAGGGGAGACGTACGGCACCACCACTCCAACACATCCACCACTTACCTAACACTCTGTCTCTTACTCTTGCAGTCCTCTTACGCGCAACTGTTGGCCGCAACCACTCTCACCAAACTCGTGACCAGAAATCCCAATATATTATCACTTCAGCAGCGGTTAGATATCAGGAATTATATCCTAAACTATTTGGCTTCGCGTCCAAAGTTAGCGCCGTTTGTAACCCAAGCGTTGGTCCAACTGTTCGCTCGCATCACAAAACTCGGATGGTTTGAGTCCGACAAAGAGGAGTTTGTCTTCAGGAATGTCATCCCACAAGTCAGACCTTTCCTTCAGGTCCGCACACTCTCACAGTTATTCATTGATTGCTTTACACTGTTGTCTAACAATTACTTGATGATGATTAGGGAAATGTTGATTACTGTATAGTTGGTGTCCAACTATTATCTCAACTGACGTGTGAAATAAAGTAAGTCTTATTGTGTTATTTGTGAATTGTTTGAATGACTGTCTTTTGATGGCATAATCAGTCAAATCAGTGGTTCGGATGCGAGCCGTTCGATAACAAAGCAACGAAAGATCGCCTCTTCCTTCAGAGACAACCACTTATACGAAACGTTTCAATTGGCGCACGACTTGCTGAGACGGGCCCTCCAGAGCTGGAAAAGCACTAAATTCATTGATGAGACCCAACAGACTTTGGTCAGCAATCTTCTACGGCTTGCTCTCAATTGCTTATCCTTTGACTTCATCGGCACCTCTCCGGACGAGTCTTCAGATGACTTGTCGTGTAAGTGATTATCTACTAATGTGTCATCTCTTGAAACATACGGTAAATGAATTGAATTGTGGAACAGGTGTGCAAATACCTACGAGTTGGAGACCGGCTTTCCTTGACTTTAATACTCTGCAGCTCTTCTTTGATCTCTTCCATTGTTTGCCTCAATCATTGGCGCCGATTGTAAGCAATGTTTTTAGTGGTTACCAGTATTTGCTAACTTTGATTATACTGTGAATGTCAGGCGCTGTCGTGTTTGGTTCAGTTCGCATCCGTTCGCCGGTCTCTTTTCAATAACACAGAAAGAGCCAAATTTCTTATGCAACTCGTGTCGGGCGTCCGGTATATCTTAGAAAACCCTTCCGGTCTGTCAGACCCCGGCTGTTACCATGAGTTCTGTCGGCTGTTGGCTCGTCTCAAGTCAAACTATCAATTGAGTGAATTAGTCAAAGTAGACGGATATCCAGAAACTATAGCTTTAATCACCAAATTCACGGTCACCAGTCTCCAGGTATGTCTCATATGTCTTATTGTTTTATCATTTCAATAACCGTTCAATACTTGAATCTTTATCGACTGCCAGATGTGGCAATTCGCCCCCAACTCTATCCACTATTTGTTGAGTTTATGGCAACGAATGGTTGCATCCGTTCCTTACGTTAAGGCTTCTGAACCACATTTACTCGAGACGTATACTCCAGAAGTGACCCGCGCTTACATCACATCCCGATTGGAATCCGTTAGTGATGTGGTTAGGAATGGATTGGAGGACCCGTTTGATGACATAGGGATGGTTCAGCAGCAGTTGGACCAACTGTCCACTATAGCCCGGTGTGAATATGAGAAGACCTGCTCTCTGATAGTGCAACTGTTCGACCAGTCGGCCCAATCATATCAGGAACTGTTGCAGACATCAGCCCTTTCGCAGATGGATGTGGCCATACAAGAGGGTCGCCTCACTTGGTTGGTCTATATTATAGGCGCTGCCATTGGGGGCAGAATATTCCTCAACAGTACTGATGAACACGACGCCATGGATGGAGAGCTGGCCTTTCGTGTACTACAACTCATGAATTTCACTGACGCCAGACTCGCACAGGTAGTCATTGTTTGAATTGAAAATTTTCGAATAGTTTCAAATAATTTTGTTACTTATTTAAAGGGTGGTTCCTGTAAGAGACTGGAACTGGCGATGCTTTCATTCTTCGAACAGTTCCGTAAGATATATGTTGGCGATCAGGTCCAGAAGACATCGAAGGTCTACAGACGACTGTCCGAAGTTTTAGGGCTCACTGAAGAGACTATGGTTTTAAGTGTTTTCGTTAGAAAAATGTATTTATTTATTGGTTATATTCATGTGATTTAAAGTCTAATAAATACTTTGTTGTTATTGTCTCATAGAATAACAAACTTAAAGTATTGGGGAAACAGTGATCTAATAGTGACGAAAACCCTGCAAATACTCAATGATTTATCTGTTGGTTATAGTAGTGTCAGAAAACTTGTCAAACTAGAAGAGGTTCAGTTCATTCTCAACAACCATACCGTATGTATTGACCATTGTTTCCCGGAATAATTAATTGATTTCATTGCTGTCTGTCCCCTTCAGAGTGAACACTTCCCCTTTTTAGGCAGTTCTGCACAAATCAATGATATGCGCTGTCGATCAACACTTTACACGTCTTTGGGTCGACTTCTTATGATAGATCTCGGAGAAGACGAGGAAAAGTTTCTCAATTTTATCAACAGTTTGACCGGTAATACAACACGAGTCCAATGACACCGATAATTAAATATTTAATTATTATATTGATTTTGATTTAAAGTCGCTTTCGATGCGTTGGCATTGCTTTTGAAGTCTAACTCAATATTTAATGTGGACGAAGCAAAGGTTGCAATTGAATTGATTTGAATTGCAAACATTTATTGAATTTTTAAAAATTGATTTATACTATAGAAAGGACTGATAGGTTTGGCCCGAGATCTTAGAGGTCTAGCGTTTGCCTTCAATACTAAGACTAGTTTTATGATGTTATTCGAGTGGATGTAAGCATTGAATACATTTAATCTTTTTATAGTAAGTGATTACAAGTGAATTAAGTGTATAATTGTATGCATTAGATATCCGGCGTACACTCCAATACTTCATACGGCTATCGAGCTCTGGTATCACGACCCGCATGTGACGACACCAGTCCTTAAATTAATGGCTGAATTGGTTCAAAACCGGTCTCAAAGACTTCAGTTTGATGTCTCGTCTCCGAACGGAATACTACTGTTCCGCGAGACGAGTCGAATGGTTGTCAATTACGGCACTCGTATTCTCACTCTCGGGGATATACCCAAAGACCAGATCTATCCATTGAAATATCCTTTTCATAATTATTTAGTTATTTATTTTGTTTTCTGAATAATCCGTTAATGTCCTTAACTCCTAACTTTACGCTCAAAGGGATATCGATATGTTTTTCAATGCTTAAGTCAGCCCTATGTGGAGGTTATGTAAACTTTGGTGTCTTTCACTTGTATGGCGACACAGCACTGGACGACGCGCTCAACACTTTCATTAACTTATTGTTATCAATACCTCAAACAGATTTATTGGTAATAGTGATGACCTGTTTGTGCATTCAATGAATTGCTGTAATATATGATTGTCTCGACAGAATTACCCGAAACTGAGTCAAACCTATTACGTGCTGTTGGAGTGCTTAGCACAGGACCACATGAACTTTTTGGCCAATTTAGAGCCCAATGTCTTTCTATACATCCTGTCCTCCATCTCGGAAGGCCTCAACGCATTGGACACAATGGTGTGCACCGGTTGTTGCGCAACACTCGACCATATCGTGACGTATTTGTTTAAATGGTTGTCAAAGACGACCAAAAAGCCGACGCAAACGGGTTTAGTTCGCGAGAATGAGACGTGTCTTAAAGTACTGGAACTGCAGCCGGAAATACTTCAGCAAATGCTGTCAACCATTTTGAATATAATTATGTTCGAGGACTGTAGGAACCAGTGGTCTATGAGTCGACCCCTTTTAGGGCTCATTCTGCTGAATGAGGAGTATTTCAATCAACTGAGACAAAGCATTATAAGCCAACAGCCCTCTGATAAGCAGTCATCGATGGCTCAATGGTTCGACAATCTCATGGAAGGCATCGAACGCAGTCTACTTACCAAAAATCGCGACCGGTTTGTACCCACGCATAGCACCCACACCTAACCCATGAGTCTAATGACTGCCATTGTGTTTGACAACAGGTTTACACAGAATCTGTCGGTATTTCGTCGCGATATAAACGACTCGCTGAAAGGGCCGGCTTTGGGCAACTCGTGCGGTGGCGCACAGACTATTGCCGCCTCACAGGACAATATGATGAGTTGAGACCATTGAGCCAATGCTCACCAATCACTTGTAAATTATTTATTTTTGTATCTCTTCGAAAAATGTATTTGTTTTTAAAAAAGTAGAATAAAATTAAATTCTTAAATAATTTTACATTTTCACTGAAAATGATTTTTATTAAAACAATTGTAATATAGTTTACATTCAAATGGACTATTGATTTGACAGACAATATATATATAAGAAAAATGAGATGCAATTCGAGTGTTTGGTTTGTGTTGAGTTAATAATTACTTAAATAATTCTTGGAATGATTCTCAATACAAGTGATGAACGAGTCTATAATTTTTCTAAACATTCAAATTAATTGAAAAAATACAAAAGGATTAAAATTAATCTGGCTAAAAATTATAAAATAAACTGTTTTCACAATCTTATCAATGATTAATATATAATTAATTATCAATTGAAAGCAATATATTAGGAGTGAGTGGTTATGAGGAGACAAAAGTGTACGATCGGGAGGGCGAGTGCAGGTTTTTAGTGGTGGGCGCCGGCGCTTCTGGACTCAGGAAATCCCAGATTAGGATAGTGTCGTCGTGTGAAGAGCTAACGATTTGGAACTCATCGAACTGTAGCCGAAATACTCTACCCGTGTGTTCGACAAGAGTTCGCAGACATAGCGTACCATTCGGTGATCGCGGGTCCAGAGCTGCCGCCAAATCCCATACTTTTATTTTACTGTTAATTCAGTCACGAATTAGTATATCAAACATTCAAATGACAATAAGTGTCACACAAACCCATCATAAGCTCCGCTGACTATCCGCTTGTTATCGAATCGAATACAACGGACCAACTCTTCGTGTCCGTCCAGTACTCGCAAACACGTGCCGCACTCGATGTCCCACAACCTGGTGGTTAGACACACATCAGTCACTCATGTCTAGCATTCATTGATATACACAATACTTGTCGATCACACTATTATCACAATTATACACTGCACTCATCAACAGTAATCATTCATTAAGAATATCGCGACTATTTTTACTGTATATTCCGAAAACTACAGGAAACTTATACATTTTGGTGTTTCTCATGTTCACACCTTTATTAGTCATTGTTATTAGACAACAATTGGTATTTATTGTCAAAATTTGTAAATTTTAATTATAAATATATTTGTTTGAAGTTATTCTTAGTTGCCTAACCGGTGTCTACCGTCTAAAACTTGACTAATTTGAGGGAATTTTGCAAAGATTTGACTTTAAGTCTAATACGTGTTCTGTTTGATTATCACAAGAAAGTAATGATAAGTGAAAAAGATGGTTCTCGTACAAAACGGTGTAAAAAGGCATCATTTTTTAAATATTGCAAAAAAGTATAGGAATTGTAGGAAACCATTGACTTGTGTTCAGATTTAGCTAATTATATGTTTTAATATTTTAATGATTGAGTTTTCGATGTTTAAAAATCTAATGAATTATTAAAACATATGAATCATTACTTCTATCATAAATAGAAAACACGTTTTTCTCTGTTTTTATTACTTGTCAAAAGTCGTTCACTCAATACAATGAACTCCTCCTTACCTTAAGATTCAAGAGTAGTTGTCTATGAATTGATATTAGAATAGTAGTGCAGTATATTATACTCAGACTAAATCAATTCAAATAAAACCTCATTTACAAAAACTATTGAAATAAGAAATTTTTACTACTGTATAATGACTGCCATGTAGTGTACCGTATATTCAAAATGACAAACAAATTATTGAATTTTAAGTTTATGTAATAAATAGTGATAGACTATAATAGTGGTAATGTTAGCATTTAGTTGTCATTTACTAATTACTTGGAATTTAGTCAATAAATGCAAACAGAGTAGTTTAGTAACCGGTAATTTATAAGTATAGACTATACAGTACTGTATACTGTAGTCAAAACTTTTAAAGCATTTTAAAGCTTTTAAAAAACTAGAAATACATATTAAACATTTAAAGTACGGCACATGACATGCATTATAACGTATGGATTGTCACTTATTTAAAATCTAATTAAGCCTTTGGACACAATATACGGTATACAATAGACTTTAAGCAAACAAATGACAAAAAGAGTGCAATTGATGGATACATCATATAATAAAGTATGTCAGACCTGATGGTGTTGTCAGAGCTGCCGCTGACCACAAGTCGGTCGCGATATTGAAGACAAGCGATGCCTCGTTTGTGTCCATTAAGAGTCCGCACAAACTCACAGTTAGAAGTATTCCAGACTTTGATGGTTCGGTCACCAGAAGCAGAAACGATGTACTTCTCGTCGAAGTCGACGACATTGACGGCCGCCCTGTGGCCCACGAGTACACGTCTTAAGTTAATATCAGTGGGAGATGTCATGTCCCAGACAGCGATGGACCTGTCCTTAGAACAGGTAACCATCATTCCGTTGTTGAACCGCAAGTGAAGCACAGCTTCGCAGTGATGGATCAAAGTGTTGACCATCTGTCCGGACACCACTTCCCACACCCGTACCGTCGCATCACTCGAACCACTGATTATCACTCTCTCGTCGTATTGAAGACATAGTACGGAACCCGTGTGTCCGGTCAGTATCTAACGGATCAGACATTAGTTTCAATAATCATTCATAAAATGCAAACATTAAGCCATACTTTGGAGCACTGGAGTGAAGTGCGGTCCCATATCTTAATTGTATTATCTCTTAATCCACTAATGATTTTGTGGTCATCGTATTGGAGACAATAGACTCCTTTACTCGCTTCAGACCTACAGTTAATGCGTTGAAGATTGTGTCGACCGGACCTCCAGTTGTTTTCAGTGCTTTCGATGTCTTGAATTATTTTAGGGAATAGTCTTCTATAGAACATGTGATCCGGATGTTGTTCACCAGCACTCGGCTTAAACAGGTATCGCACCCTTAAAGACATCAACCAATTAAACACATATGCAGTGAAACTCATTGACACGACTGTCACATACCATCCCCTTCTGTGTGATAATCCCCTCCAAAGAGAATCCGTTCGAACCCTACTTTCGATGAGTTTCTTCCACAGCATTCCCTCAGAGATAACGCGATACCACTCTTTGCACACCAGTTCCGCTGAACACAACGACTTGGCGTCCAAATAGGACAACACCGTCTCCGCCACGTGATCCAAGCCTTTCTCTGCAGTCACGGCAACACCACATCCATTAGCAGACATACAGATAACAACATAACCGCCACTTACTCGGCAGTAATGAAATGAAGTCTCTTTGAAGCATTGGTTTGAGATATGAATTGATTTGCGAGTGTTGGCAGTGAGACATCTTCGACAGCAAGTACTCGACGAAGTCTGTCTGATCCGATTCACACCACGAGTCGAATGAAGAAATACAGTCCTCTTTGCTCTTCTCATACACACCGTTCGCCTCATCCGTCAGCTGTTCCTCTCTATTCTTGAACAGCGATGTCATCGACAGTACCTTCGAGTCAATCAATGGTTCAATATTAGTCACAATTGCCGATCAAATTAGTAATAAAGCATTCATTGAATCGTGAGATAAATTGGTGGTCAGATTGGGATCAATTGCAAAGACAGTGATAAGGGGTTAGTAATGATGACAATTGGGGCGAAGAGTGGATGAGTGGACACGACCTCAACTCAACTGCAAATGGGTTAACGACTTGTCATTTCTTACGGAAACTATTGGCTCGACGTTGGACTCGATGGTAGAGATTGTGTCCATTATTTGCTTCAAACAAAGTGTTGACAAACTATGCGACAAAACAATGGATTGATTTGATTGTAATCACTGTTAATCCGTGAGATTGAGTACTCATTCAGACTCACAACCAGTAATCGCAATGCAGTACTCAATAGTCATACATACAGTCAGTCATACAATCAGTTCAGTGTCTGTCTGTGAACAGAGTCTCAGTCTGTGAGTCCTATTTGTGCCATATTTTCATTAGACGTCATACGAGGGGTCTCTTCCCTGCAGTGCTCTCATTGCTGTGAAATTGGTGAGCATTTAGATTGAAAATCCTATAAGAAGACCACAAATAACGTGTAGTTTATTCACATTAAATGTTTGGCATTTCAATGCCGAGTTTCAATACAAATGTCAATAAACTATACATTATTTATGGTTTGTATTACACGATTTCAGTTCGAACTTCGCATTACCAGTTTGGTTGCCGTCAAAAGGGGGACAATACATGTGTCACGTCTGCAGTGAACAGCGCTGTCCTACTCTAAAAACTCCAGTTCCCGGACAACAAATGATCGTATCATACCTGTCCACACCTGTCCAGTTCCACTGCCCTCCGCAATAACTGCTAATATGGATCACTTTCCACATCTTCCACAATAAGCATAATATTTAGATGTCTATTAATATTTCAATAATCTTATGTCTAATATGAATACATGGCATTCAAAATAGTTTTAACCGAATTTTCCAAATTGTGGAAAGGTCATTGTAGAATATCATATTACTGTTAAACAATATTATTACTACTATATACAGTACTATACAGTGTATAGTGAATGTATTTCTACCTCATAATATAATCTATCGAATACCATGAAATTGTTCTACTGTATGTCGGTAAAACTTAATATTTATCATAGCATGTTAAAAGTGTTATTGTAACAATAAGTACAGTTGCCGTATAAATGTATTTGAGTATTAGACCACTGAAATTTGACAATTATGTTGTCATATCAATTATGAGTAATATCAGTTTTGTTGCAATTTACAAGTTGAGTATGGTAGAATTATTCTACTTTTATACTGAATATTTGACAGTATGAGTGATAACGGTAAACTTGTTTTGTAAGTTTATTCTAATTTATATGATTCTGAATTTCATATCTCAAATATCATAGTGTTACAATAATATGAGCCTTAAAGAACCAGAGAGACGCTAGCTATTTTTATTTAATTAATAATTTGACTCAGAATCCAATTATTCATAAAATATTCATAGGTTTACGGTAAGATAGTAACTATAACTTATCAGAATACAAGTAAAATATTACTAATTATTTATATATAAAAAATAGCTAGCGTCTCTCTGGTTCTTTAAGGCTCATATGATATTACAGTAATACCTGTCAAATATTGTAAAACTAATGTAAATTTACACAAATAGTGAGGTAATAGTGTTTATGAATGGATCACTACATATGCCGTCACTTTTGATTGTATTGAATGTTAAAACTTATAATTTGTTAAAATATGAGTTATAATTGAATTAAATATTAGTTGAAAACAATTAAAATGTCAAAAGTTTTGCGAAGAAAAGGCATTTCAAAGGACAGGGGTGTGAGTGCAAGAGATGAGACAATTGATGGCAAAGAAAGAACAAGTGGTTCCCAGTCATCACATCTGTGGTCTACAAGACGTGTGAAAAGTTTGATCATTTGGTTGACATGTGTGTCGTTAATGGCATTTATGGCACATTCAGTATATAAATGGCATTTATATCGCAAGACATTCACACCCTTTGACCCAAACATAGTCAACAGTTCAGTACTGAGTGCCACAAATTGGGGTACTTTTCGTAGCGGACATTACTTCGGTCTGAAGACCTGTTCCCCACAATCAATGGTCACCGGAATGATGTGGTTCTGGAACCGCATTGAAGGACATTCACTACCAGTGAGGCACTGGTGCGACCAAAATGATAGGTTAGGCCGCTATGGATGGACGCGACATGACTTCCACTCTTTCGGCATTCAGGAGATTGTCGACAAGAATGTGGTCTTTGAGACCAGTTTCGTGAAGTACGCGAACAACAGCTGGAGATCACGAATAGAAGCCAAACCCAAATATGCAGAGCACTCGACCTCAATGTCGCCATCAGTTCCCATATCTTTGATCTTCTATGTGGCGACACAACGACCTCAGGATCGGCTCCAAGTGTTGCCATTCAATGCGGAACTTAAGCCCAACTCTAACTTCCAAATTGAAGGCCATTCACACGATTTGGGGGACTTTCGCATGTCTTTCACTATCTCTAAAAACAGAGCAAATGTTTTGTTTAGAAATTATTTGAATACAGTGTCGGATCCACCGCTAGTTTACCTCAAAGAGAGTCTCCTTAAGAATTTGGTTCTCTTTGACATCAATGACATCCAAAGGAACCCAATATTTGTGGTGAACGGCGACTCATTTGACAAAAGAGACCAAATAAGTAGAGCTAACTTTGTTGCCCATCAGATAGTCTTCTCTTCTGCCATCGAATTGTACGTTGAGTTCCAAACTCTCAGCTCTCAGTCATCCTCTCAGTCATCCACTCATTCAACTCATTCAGTGACCATCGAGTCCTACAAAAATGAATTACAGAAAAGGAGTCTTCAGTTCGACAAAGACTTTGAGCTTAAGTTTGGTTTAGAAGAGAAAAAGTTTAGTCAAAATGAGATCTCATTCGCGAAAGCAATTGTTAGTAACGTTTTGGGAAGTATTGGGTGTTTCAGTGGTTATTCATCCGTACACTCAGATCCAAGTGAAGAACCAGTTCCTTATGGGCCGCTGCAGTTGCTGACAGGTGTGCCCTCCCGTTCCTTCTTCCCCAGAGGCTTCCTTTGGGACGAAGGCTTTCATCAGCTATTGATCAGTGAATGGGATCGGGAGTTATCCGAGACTATGATTGAAAGCTGGTTGAGTCTTATGAATAGCGAGGGTTGGATTCCTCGTGAAGTGATTTTGGGCGGTGAGGCCGAGGCTAGAGTTCCCAAAGAGTTTATTGTTCAGAAGACCACTAATGCCAACCCTCCGGCCCTCTTCCTGTCCATAGAAAAACTGTTAAATAACGGAAACGTTGACATCAAATGGTTGCATAAAGTGTTTCCTCGACTTCAACTCTGGTATAATTGGTTTAATGTCTCACAAATGGGACAAATCTCTGGTACTTATCGTTGGAGAGGAAGGAATCCAAATACAAGAAAAGAATTAAATCCAAAAACATTGACATCAGGTTTAGATGATTATCCGCGAGCCACTCATCCAACCGATGATGAGATACATCTCGATCTGAGGTCATGGGTTGCGTTTGCCTCACGAGTGATGGCAAGAATTGCGGAATTGGTGGACAAGTCTCTGGTCGCACAGTATGAAGAAACGGCTCAATATTTAAGTGATAATGAATTAATGGATTCCATGCACTGGTCGGACAAACATAACATGTATTGCGACAAAGGGTTGCACTCGACTCAAGTGACGCTCATTAAAGTGAGAAACAAATCGGACAACGGGTTCGAGAAGGAGAGGAAAGTAGTCATTCCTCCCGCTTATGACTGCGTCCCAGAGTTGGGTTATGTCTCTCTCTTCCCATTTATGTTGACATTAATTGAAACAAAAAATCCAAAATTGGCTAAAATTTTAGATGACTTGGAGAATCCGAAACTGATTTGGAGTTCCCATGGAATCCGATCCCTGTCCCGAAAATCTGCTTACTATCAGCAGCACAACACGGAAGTGGATCCGCCGTACTGGAGGGGCGCCGTATGGATTAACATGAATTATCTAATCCTAAAGTCACTGCATTATTACTCGTCCACTCCCGGGCCCTATCAGAGTCGAGCCCTTTCCATATATCAACGTTTGAGACAAAACCTAATCTCAACTGTGTTTACAGAATATGCCAGAAGTGGTTATGTTTGGGAACAGTATAATGATATGACAGGCAAAGGGCAAGGATCTCACCCCTTCACTGGTTGGTCGGCTCTTATTGTCTTAATAATGGGTGAAAAATATTAATTATGAGATTATGTATTAAAATTTGTTAACAAATTATTGAATTTAATAATAATAATTGCAATTAATTATCGAAAACAATATTTTCTCGTTATTAACATCTTTTCAAAGATAATAATTAAATATTTGGGAAATCATTTAAATAGACACACAATCAGACAATCAGGTCATCCCTTTGGGCTACTTATTGATCGAATCGACTGAATCTGTGATGAGTTTCGAGAGCGCCGGCGAGTTGTGCGGCGCTGTCGTGAATATAGTGCCCACAATCACATGAGTGGCCCATTTGGGGTGATATATGGCTTTACAACAGCCCAGGTCTTCAATCCTGAACCCCAAGTGAACGAATCGGTCGTCCGTTTCGAATAGAGTTTCGTTCGTGTGATCACTCTTTGGGTAATCAATCAATCAGTCATTCATTGAGTCATCCTTTGAGACAATCATGCGATACATACCAGAAATGGTTGACCAGAATATGGATCAATAAAGTCGGCCCAATAACCACTACTTTGCAGTTCTTCGCAAACAGTCTTCGCGTTGGACACGAACTTCTCGAAGAAGTCTTCCCTCTCGAGTTCCACAGCCTCTGAGTATCCGCTCATATCGTTCACAGTTTTACGACTCAATGTGATGGCAGTCAAGCCTTCACTCAATGCCTGTCTTATACTTCTTGGGAAAAGAAGAGCAAACTTTTTGATCATTTGAGGCGAGAGTTGGTGTGCATTGCAGTCGACCACCTCTGAGAGGGCGCCCACAGAATCCATATCTTTGGGCCACAGCTTCTGGTATTTGAGGACTCGGAAGAACTTATGGCACCGACTCTTGTAACTGTTGGACAGAAACAAATCGATGTCTATATCTCTGATCTCAAGAAGTGATGGCTTAGAGTTAAAGGCATTGATATGTTGGGCGATCTGTTGGAGGAGCTGGTGATGGATGTGAGACGTGTTGTCCAAACCGACGCCTATATTGCCATTAAGTGGTGCTCTCGTGTCATGCGGTCCGAAGAGATTCATCTCAGGAGTGGTTCTGCGGAGGAATGAGTCCGAAGTGAACACAGGGCTCGAGTGGGGACGTCGTTGTGGCGCTGATATGGCTCCAGAAGGCAACGACTGATCCGGGGGTTCAGAGCTGTAATAATAACCACTTTTTGTCATAATATTTGACATTTGCTTCAAATTTCGGGAAACGAGGACTCGATTTAAGCGTAACATTGAATACAAGACACGGTTTGCCGTCAAATGGCTTTCAATTGAATCGCATTTCGATTGCAACACAAATCACAACAAAACACTATTTCCTCACAAATGCCAACAAATCCTTTGCACGCAATGCATGTCTCACAGACATAGGGCTCACGTATGGCCCCAAACATGCATTCATTATTGACATCACTGTTACAGCAATAATCGCACAAATGCTGTGAACCCACATATTTTGGACGCCCGGCGTATATTTGACATTTCAATTACATCTAATATCATAGACAACTCTACACCGAAATTAATTAATCAATTAATTAATCAATTAATTAATCAATTCATTCATTCAATCGCCCCAACAGTTTATATTTACAGCATTATTGTTTACAATGTATACTGGTTTCACAAAAGGTCATTTCAATTGATTACGTTATACCTATTTTAATTGACAATTTAATTTATCATTGAAAGTTTTCATTGATCTTACCTTAAGAACCATGAAATGTTAATTAAAGTGGTAATTGGATTGAGTATTAGTATTAAAAGTGGACTCAATGGCAATGGCTGTATGAGTGATCAGTTGAGATGAGATAACTGTTGGCAAATGAGTGCTCAAATGGGCGCCAATGCGGGCGAATGAGAGGGCGAGTCATATGACTGTATAGCACAGCATTTACGCACTCTTTAAGCGTTTGTTTATCGCCAGAGAGTGTGTTGTTTTCAAATCATTTACTCTTACGGTTAGACTTAGACTATCGTTGACTGCATTTAGCCGTCAATTGGATGCAACTCTCACTCATTGATGTGTTGATTGTGTTGATTGTGTGGACCATAAGAGTGCAACTGATAGTGATTTGTCAATATGATTGAAATCACGTGCAATGACCGCTTAGGCAAGAAAGTGCGAATTAAATGCAACAATGGTCAGTTGAACTTACTCTGTATTATTGATATGATAGCTAATTATTTGGCATTTAATATGTTTTGATTGTTTGATTGGATTGACGTTTAGATGACACGATCGGTGACCTCAAGAAGTTAATCGCCGCACAGACGGGCACTCATTGGGAGAAAATCGTGCTCAAGAAGTGGTACACCATATATAAGGATCACATCACTCTCGAAGACTATGAGATTCACGACGGAATGAATCTCGAGTTATATTACCAGTAATTCATTAATAAACTCTTCATTTATTCACATTTCTTAACAATTGTCTTGAATTTTATATTTTCATTAATTTGATAACAAAATAACAACTCTTTGGCCAAACATACGGCCATTAAAGTGGAATATTTCCGTGTTTTTTGTTAGGGTTCGACACCTTTTTATTCCTCAAGAGATTCAAATCTCTGCAGATTCTCATTCGCGTAGTCCGAGGATCGATAATGTCGTCCACAAAACCTATCGATTGTTTTTAGCATTAAATGCATTCAATTGTATCCATAAGTCATTGACAAACCTCTGACGGCAGCGGGGAATGGATTTCCAAACTTATCGATGTATTGGCGCTCGTATTGCTGAGTGTCAGCCTTTCCCCGGTATAGTATAGAGACGGCGCCCTTGGCTCCCATGACAGCGATCTCGGCTGTAGGCCAGGCGTAGTTGACGTCCGCCTTTAGGTGCTTAGAGCTCATGACATCATAGGCCCCGCCATAGGCTTTGCGGGTAATGACTGTGATTTTGGGCACATTTGCCTCCGCGAAGGCATACAATAGCTTCGCGCCGTGTCTTATGATTCCCCCGTATTCTTGAGCCGTTCCCGGGAGGAAGCCTTTAGTTGACAACAAATACTTATCGTTATAAAGATATCACTGTAAATGACAAGTGATGGCACATACCGGGGACGTCAACGAATGTAATGATGGGAATATTGAATGCATCGCAAAAGCGCACAAAACGGGCGCCTTTTACAGAGGAGTTGATGTCGAGACACCCTATGAGGGCATTGGAAATGTTAGGCAAATGTTACTTACAAATCAATGTATTGAATACCGGCCGCATATTTAGGGTTATTGCCTACTATGCCAACCGTCTCGCCATTCATTCGCGCGAATCCTATCAATAGATTCTTGGAATAGTCGGGCATTATCTCGAAGAAGTCATTTTCATCAACAATCTATCGATATTACAAATGACACCTCAATTCATATAATATTGGCATTAATTCAATGATATTTACGGCTAAGACAATGTCCAGCATATTATAAGCCGAAGACGATTCCAAGGGAACAACAGTATCCAAACTCTCAACAATTCTATCCCTAAATATATACATTAAAAGTTAGTTTTATTTTGTAAGTAAAGTTGCAATCATTAGGTATTAAACCATTTGTCGTCCGACTGTCTGATGGGCGCGGGATCTGCACTCGAAAGCGGAAGAAAGCTGTAGAACTTGCGGAGCTGTAGAATCATATCGACGTCGTTGTCGAAAGCCCTGTGCGCCACACCCGACACCGAAGTGTGAGTCTTAGCGCCTCCCAGTTCTTCTTGAGTCACGTCCTCATTAGTTACGGCCTGACAATTGACAACACATTTAATATTGCATTGCTTTGAGTGATCATTCATGTGAGGAGTGATCATACTTTGACGACATCGGGTCCAGTGATGAACAGATAAGAGGTGTCTCTAACCATAAATACGAAGTCAGTCAACGCTGGCGAATACACAGCCCCTCCAGCGCACGGACCCATTATGACTGATATTTGCGGCACAACTCCTGAGGACTGGACATTGCGTAAGAATATATCTGCATAACCGGCCAGAGAATCGACTCCCTCTTGAATACGAGCGCCTCCCGAGTCATTAATACCTATGACTGGAGCGCCCACTTGGACGGCCTGATCCATGATCTGCCACAATGACAGTCCATCAGTAATGAACACAATATGACAACAGATATTTGACACAAACTTTGCAAATCTTCATGGCGTGAGCGCTCGACAAACTGCCGCCGAAGACAGTGAAGTCTTGACTGAAGACAAAAACTTTGCGGCCATCGATGAGTCCATGTCCGGTCACTACACTGTCTCCAGAATACTATAGTTCACAGAATATTGAGTAATGAGTGCAACGGGTATATCATATGCAGGATCAGTGCAAACCTTCATGTCCTCCATCCCAAAGTCAGTGCACTTGTGCTCCACAAACATATCGTATTCAATGAAACTCTTGGGATCTAATAGTAAGTCAATTCGTTCCCGAGCTGTCAGTTTGCCCTAAGGTTTGGTTCAAATGGCATTTCAGATCAATGTCTCGACTCATCAATGCATACCTTCTTGTGCTGGAACTCAATCCTCTCGAGACCTCCTCCCAAAAGACTTGATTGTCTTTTCTTATCGATATCTGTCTTCACTTGAATGGTGTGTAAAATGTTTTCATTTGAACTTAAATTGTATTTCACTTGAAATTCAATTTTTCGCAACTTTTGAGATAATAATTCATTTTTATGACAATTAAATGCATTTAAAACGAGTCTTAAGCGATTCAATTGCAGTGATGCCATCCCTGCCATCCTTTCAGTCGATATTGTCCTAAATAATGGTTAACCAGATCTGAGAACTCAATAATCACCTCAACTTCAAGACCCGGGGTATCAACTGTAAGAAGTGTTGTCTTTCACTGCAATGACCTTGGTCATACAGTAACATGCTCATTTGGCAATAGTAACTAATAGTACTGTACCTCTAATTTGAGTGCTTAACACATGTGATTCATTGATTGAATAAATTGATTGAATACTGTACTGTACCTTGCACAATTTAGAGACTTTTCAATTGAAATGATAGTCTAATTGTGATATTCTTATAAACTTCTATGAATTGACACTTCATTACAGTAGCGCACAAATAACGTCTATATATGAGTACAAATACGTGCAGACATTTGTTGACGAATTACATTGAAATGAACGGCAATTGAGAGACAAAGTGATGCATTAGTTGTGATCATTTTGGGCGCAATTGAAACGTCATATTTCAAGCAGAAGTGGTGACTGAGATGTCTTCGGATGCGAACCAAACCAATGACACCAATGATTACGATTACGAGACACCCAAAGAGGTATACCTGCGTTTGATTCAACTGATCAACAATCAGATGGAGAGTCCGGAAGTGTTGCCATACGAGGAGGCGGTGATCGAGTGCATCGTCGAGCAGATCCAACACATGTCCTCCAATCTGAAGAGACTGGAGAGCAAATTGGATGAGTTCTGTGTGGAACAGCACACCACAGAGTTGCAGCGATTCAGTTATGCCACTCACGAGTACTTCCGCACTCGTCTCCACAAGATTGAACTCAACGCCAACTCTCTGATCAAGTGTTTGCAGACAAACAGACAGTCGATGGAGAAGTTGTTGTCCAAGAATGAGATCAAATACTTGGATAACTATGTGTCGGCACTGGACTCGTATCTCAATGAATCAGTTTTGGGTCGTTTGCCGTTCAATCGGACATCGATTATGGGCTTCAAGTGGATGGATGTGCCCAACAGTGATGATCAGCTCTTCAGCAACACCTATGTGTTCGTGAAAGCACTGAAAAGCACTCAAGTATTGGTCGACGACTCCAGTGGTCAGCAAACCGTGTCCTTAGACAAGGATTCGCAACACTTCCTGCCCTACAGTGCTGTCCGACGGCATCTAATGAGCGGTTCCAGAGATATTGATCTTATTTAATGTAAAAGAAGTCATAATTTAATTGATAATCGCTTTAGTTTTACATATATTTGTCAAATATATTGTTTACAAATAATAAAATGTTTTAATTATTAACTTTGCGTTTGTAATGAGTGTTAAAATAGTTATCGGATTTGAATTTAGATATAAGTCAAGACAAATGCAATGTTAGGGTTAGTGTTGTTTGAGTTCATTGCCGATGCGGTAACTCATGATTTTGTTCCACTCTATCTTGGATCGGGTCACCGGAAGTGGTCGTCGGAGTGCTTTGAATGTCGTCTCAGACATAGTCGTGTAGTTCTCGGAGATAGCCGTCTGGTACTCCTTCTCGGCCTCGGCTACTATTTGTCGCATTTCATCTGCCATTTGCTTTTCACTCTACATATCAATGCAATGGTAAGCGACTCACTGTAAGCACTGGTGTGTCATATGGACTCACATTAATAAAAATGCTTTCTTTGATGTCTTTGCAACTGACGAGTTGTACGTTCCCGTCCTCATAGTAATGCACCTGAACTTTGATCGTCCCCTTCAGCTCCGCTTTGCCCGAACCCGAGAACGTCAGGCTCCATACCGAACGCCACCTCCCGTTCCTACAGTACATCCACAGACAAAGTTATAGTACCGGTATATTCAACTTATAATAACGTAAACTTTTATTACATTATATAATACTGTATATGAGAATTGAAACTTTATAGTAGCCTTTTACACAAATCTATATACGGTAAATATCAAAATACAATGATTCACACATTACCGTAATTGTATAGAAATGGTTAAATTGTATATTGATGTCAATTAATGAAAAAGGCTACTGTACTACAGTATACAATTACAATTCTCATATGAAATCCGACACATTTATTACATATGTACTGTACTGTACTGTACATACCCTAACTATACGGTAACTAACAACTTTTAGTGTTTTGATAATCAATGTTAGCTATAAGTACCATAAGTTAAAACAATGCTACAAATGTAGTGTAAAGGGAGGGCCACTCTTTCCCACCATCTCTCATGAGTACAGCATTAATGAGACACTTATAGTATGTAATGAAACAGTTGTATAGGAAAGGAAGGAAATGTATGCACAATGAGTTGAACGTGAGTTTCTATAGAATAAGTGTAAACATGTATTACCAGTAATTCTTAGGCTGGAACTGATGGTCTTCAATACAAGCGGCTAAACTGATTTGTCCGTTGCTTTCACTCAACCCAAACACAGCACTGATGCCATTGTGGTAGTGGTCGGCGCAGTATTTGCTCCAAACCTCCTCCAAGGCTGACCTCCAGGGCTCACTGGTTGGGTCGGGTGTCCACGACTGGTAATCGGAGGCCTCTTCCTTCAAGTGGTCGTATTTGAATGATTGTCGACTTCGGGGGTCGTAATAGCGATTGGATCCCAATTCGTTGTATTCCGTAATCAATGTCTGTTTCACGAGTGATTCATATGTGAAAAGTCATGTCTTCACAACCGATTGTCATTCAATTGAGTGATACCTGAGTTTGCGAGGAGTCGATGGACACGGGAGTCAACTGGTCTTTGCTGTACTGCGAGAATACACTGAAAGACATACAAATCATTAGTTCATGTCATGTCATGACAAGTGATGGCAGTGTCACACCCGGAGGCCTGTTCTTTGAGCAGTTGGTCGTTGTTGAGGAGTTGGCGCACATCTGCCACAACATAATCACTTCATTAGACATACAATCACTGAACAAAGCATTCAATCATACCATTGACCACTTCCCTGAACTCCCCGGGCGGCGCATGGAGTATGAAGTCAGTGACAATCCGGATCTAATGAGACATTCATTCAATTCATTAGAGTTACACTCAATTGGCAGCTAATGTTTGGCACCTTTTCCGTGTCAGACAGCGGTTCATCCAAATCACTGGCCATTGCGGACAATAAGTTGTCAAATGAACGGATCAGTTGTCAAATCAATTCAATGATACGTCGAGTGATTGAGGGGACAGTCGTCTCAACACAACCTTTAATTGTAATGCAATTGTAATGCGATATTCAATACGTTTGCATTCAATCACTAAAGCATACAAACACTACACACAGACACGCCTCACACCTACCCTACAGACCTCTGTTGAGCACTATTTATACCATATTCTCACTTTCCATACATACAGTCAATAAATGACCCGAATACATTTAGGGGCACTCAGTTTTGTGCCATTGCACACTAATATTATAGACCTGACACCTTATGAAATAAATTGTATCAATATTACAGTTATGAAAATATATCATACTAATACAGTATTACATTAATATACTATAATATAGTATAACATATTATGTAGTAAAAACTACTTTCTATGTCCTAATAATTGAATAGTGGCAATGAGTGTGCAGTACAGTACAATGTATCGGTAGATTACAATTCAATTAAAGAATTCATATGTAAAACAAACATTTAGATGACTATCGTAATACCAATTCATTACAATGATTCACATTAAATGAATTATCGTTTTTAAAATGAATTTAAATAAGATATACTGTTACAACATGCATATATTAACATACAGTACTACTTTGTATGATAATGTAACTACCGTTACGGTCTCCTTTAACTGGTACCGGTTACTGGTTAGCTGGTTACTGGTACCGTTAACTCCGAGTCTACTGTATTAATATAAAATTTTAGAATTTATTATAGAAAACCATTTTAATAATTTCATTGATTCAAATCACTTAAAATTGGATACTATTTAAAAGATATTAAAGTAATTTAAATAAGAATATATTTCTAATTATATAAACTACAGTGTAATTAATTGTACAGTATTAATAACCTGTTAAAAGTTACATTAAAATGCACTAACTTGTAAGTGTTACAGTAGACTACCATGCACAAAGTATTTTTTGGAAACTCACTTTTAGGTGAGACAATTAGGACAATATTCTTAAGTTAACATCTTAAGAATCTATACGAATTCTGTGATCCACTTTACATATGATACCATCACTGACAATGGTACTGTTTGTAATTTGAGAATCACTTCCTATTCTATCATATCACATCGGTAACAGCAACAGTATTGTACAGTAGGATAATTATTCAACATTTAGATTTCAAATCATTATGATATGATGTGATAGAGTCTATGATAATGATTAGACTAACAGAAAGATTATGTAACATAATGTTCATGGTACTATTGAAACACTAAAGTCTTAATATAATGTTCATATGTTCATTTAATGTAATTCATATTAAATATATGACCATCGTCAAAATTTTTTCTTGGATCGTTTTTAATTGTTGATAGATGAACTGAATCTAACATAAGTATGAATTGAATTGAACCAGGTTCATAATTGATACTGTATGATAGGGGGCAACATGTGATGTAACAGTTGATATGTGTGACTCGCATATGAATGCTTGCAAATAGCAATGAAACCGATTTGTATGTTGTGTTCATTTGTTGCTAATTGTAATGATTTTGTCATTCAATTCATCATTGATTTGCATTTCAATCAATAATCACTTGAATTGAATGCATAAACAAAATACATTCAATTGAATCACTGTTTGTAGTAATGATTGAACTCTTGTGAAGCCTTACTCTTACTGAAAGGTGACATTTATTTACCGTTAGAGTTAACCACTGGATCACTGGATCTGCTGATTGGATAATAATTGGAGACTAAGTGTAGAGATCGTGTCCACCATTTGGTCAGCGACTGAATCGCTTGAAGTGATGGTTGGCTCGAGAGAAAGGGAGCGAACCGTTCACAGGTTTGCATGGATTGAGTGCTGGAAGTGGTAGTGATGATGGTATTGATGTATTGTGTATGTGATGATAGGGACAGACATGATCGGGACAGGGATGAGAGGCACGGGTCAAACGGGTGGAGGAGTGGTACGTCTGGTCTGCGTCGACGGGTATGAATGCCATGAATGCCATGAATCCATGAAATGATTTGCAAACGAGTAATAAGTGAGAGATAAGACCTAATATACACTAAGAGTACTCTTCATCTGAGATATACTCTGAGACCTAAACCCCTAAACGTATGAATTGAGTGTTGAGTGACAGTCAGTGCTAGTGATCGATGAGGACCTGAAGCGAGACAAAGAGTCGGCGATCTATGAAGAAGACCACTATCTGTGGACTCTTTCTAAACCATTTGTCCCATTGTTTTAGTCTCCGGACTGTTATTATAGAACTGACAATAACTCAGACGACAATAGCTATGATAGTAGTAGAAGACATCGAACTCAGGAGTACGACAGATATGACTCCGACCGTCGCAGTCATCGCGACCGAAGGGCTCGCAGTCGAAGCAAAGACAGCAGAGATCGAGACCGCGATCGTGAGTCCACTTCCGGTGCAGACAATCAGTCCAATCGCTACTACAATGAAGACCACAATAGCTCTCATTATGATTATGCGAACGACTCGACTGATAGGGACAGAGACCGAGACTATGATAGAAGTCAATCACAAAGAGATAAACGCGAAGACATGCCTAACAATACGATTATGATTAGAGGTTTAGCGCCACATATCACCGAAAAGGATGTAATTGTTTTGAAACTGAAATAACTCTTGACTCTTGAGTGTTGATTACAATTTGCTCGCATTTGCAGATTGTGTCCAAACTATCGGAACATAATTTGATGGCAAAAGATATACGACTCATGAGGAAGAAAGAGACGGGTATTTACACTATAATTACTTCGGTTTATAGTTTGCTTAGTGAAACACAATACTGTAATTCAAATGAGTTATAGTTATAAATATTGCAATTGATTTAAATGCGGGGTTGAAGTGAGAGAGCAGTCGATGTAATTGTGTTGCGATTATGTATTAATAGGAGTTTCGCGTGGATTTGCTTTCGTCGAGTTCACTAATATTGAAGATGCGATTCAATGGAAAGAATTGACTCAGGTTTCCATCTTTGCTAGCTTTGCATGTTTACCACGTCTTGAGATCTTAAGACTTGATGAACATTGCACTCATGTGGCCATACATCCAATATTAACATTCAATTATTTCTACTATTTTAAAATAAATATTTGCAAAACTCCCGTATTATGAGTTGTGGGCTCTATATAATGCTTTCGATTTTAGGGATATGTGTACTTCGATGAGGAGTGCGAGGCATCCGTTCATTACTCCATTCCTAAAGACTCTTTTGGTGGCGATAAGAATATTATGAAAAACGATTGGATGTGTTATAAGGTTTGTCCTCTATATTCATGTTGCAGTTTATTGAAAGTGCTGTTTCAATGAATGACTTTTAGTGTGGAGTCAATAACTTTAAACGTCGAGAGGAATGCTTTAAGGTATGAATAATAAGAAACCATTTGATTAACAATTGTCTGAAATAATGATTGAATTGTTTGCAAAGTGTGGGACACCTAAAGAAGAGTCACTCGCAAATGATACGGGAGATGATGTCAGTTTGAGTCCAACTAATGGTTTGAATTTATTTGTATTATAGTTATCATACGATTATATACGAGTAACTCTTTACTAATCATCAATTACTTGATCCATAGCTCTCTTATTGCGTAATTTGTCTGCCAATACAACCGAAGAAAGAATTTTAACGATTTTGGGATCAATTACTGCTCTACCGATTAAGTCCATTCGTATAATAAAGGATCCGTTGTATAACATATCTCGAGGCATGTGTTTAGTAGAACTCAACTCAACCCTCGAGGCCTCACAACTCTTTACATTACTTTCGTCAATGAGTATGGGGTTTGTCATCGACGACAGTGTGGTTCAAGTGAATTATGGTAAACGGAACGCCACTTTAGGCCAAATCAACACCAACTCCAACGCCGCCATCGTTGCCCTGGCGGCCGCTCAATGGAAGAACTTGGATGAGACCCACTCCAAGAAAACTCCCGTTCCATCCAATTCTGGTCGTAGTTCTATGTCTTCAAACAAATTGGGAACCGTTTGCGTGAAAGGAGTTGAATACCAGAAGTACGAGACACCAAATATCTCCTCTTTTCAATTGGATGAGTCTTCCGGTTATTATTACGACTCCACCACTGGTTTCTATTATGACTCCAACACTCAGTACTTCTATAATACGGTATTTATTTATTCACATATTTATCACTCTTTTCATTCATCTCTATATCACTTACAGTATTAGACTTTAAATGAGAAGATAAATAAACCATTTATTTAAAGTGTAGTAATTTTGTTCAGTATTTACGTAAACTCTAAAAATAGAAATTTTATTAATATTTAATTATGGGTTTCTCACAAAACACTTCTGACAGTAGTTCTCATTAAATGAAACTATTTTATATGGTGTGAAGACATAAGTTTTCTGTGATTATTATGATTCATAATTACATAATTATTAATTACATTCATAATTTATGACATAACTTATATACATATTAATATATCTGTATATATAATAAGTTATTTATATATTTGTACTAAACTATCAAAATTGAAATGACATTAACAGCAAATCCAACAATACGTGTATTGGGATGACTCTAATCAGACATATTTAACGGTTGAGTCTAAGAGTGAAACCATTGAAAAAGAGAAGAAAGAGAAGCCTAAAGATGTGAAGTCAGATAAAGTGAAAATCGCTAAAAAGATCGCCAAAGATATGGAAAAGTGGGCCAAAACTCTGAACCAGAAGAAAGAGACGGCTCGCACTTGGGTTCCAACCGAAGCACTCAATACTGTAGAGACAGTCCAGAGCTCGTCCGCCGACGCAGGCTTTACAGTACTCGAGCAACAGGTCTCGAACCCCGAGCCCGAGACCTCTGTTTTCGACTCATTCCAAAAACAAGTGATGCCTCAAGAAGTGAAGTTAAATGCAGACAATAAAAACCACTTCTATTTAAGTGCTTATGAGATAATGAGAGCTGAGGAGAAGCGGCTCATTGATTGGGAAAAGTTGGCGTGTCTTCTGTGCAAACGTCAATTCTCGACCCCCGAGCTCCTCAACAAACACATACAGCTCTCGGACTTACATAAAGTGAGTAATTCACGAGAAATGCCTTACAGTACAGTATTTGATACTTTATTAAACATGAAATGTGTTGAATTGATTTGCAGTCAAATTTGAATGCTTTGAAACATCAGAAACTAAGTGATGAACAAATTGAAGAATTAGAGAGAACTGAAAGCGAGGTTAGGATTATATGATTGAGAATTTAAACTGAAAACTAATTGATTAATTGTATGAAAGGCCGGGTATAGGGATAGGGCTAAAGAGCGACGGAAAAAGTACGGAATCCCAGAGACGCCCGAAACAAATAAATTGAAGACTAAATATTTAAGTGAATTAGAAGAGCGCACCTCTTGTGATACTACTGTTCCCTTGCATAAGACACCCATTTCCGATAACAATATCGGCAACAAAATGTTGAAAGCCATGGGTTGGGTTAGTGTTATTCAGTTTGTATTCACTTAACACATGTTTAAACCAAATCTCTTATGTGTAGACTGAAGGCACAGGACTGGGAAAAACAAATCAAGGTTTGAACTCATTGTTGAATAATTATCTTAAATAATTGATTGTGAAAAATGGTATAAATTTTAGGAACAAAAGATATTATAGAAGTGGAGCGAAGGACAGAATTGGTTGGACTGGGAATGCGAGCCAACGTGTCGACCGCAACCGGTATTATTGAATTGAATTGTGTTTTATTTACAAACTAATGCGACATGAATGTGACAACTGTTTCATAGGCCAGTCATACAAAGATGCCGTCCGGAGAACAATGCAAATGAAGTTTAAAGAAATGCACGAATGAATGAAATCTAATATTTATATTACTGGAAACCAATTTTTGTTAACTTTTTTGCTGTAAATATTTTCATTATTCAAATAAAATTTCTCACATTTATAAAGTAATTCAATTTGTCTTAAAATAAACTATTATTGGATCCTAGTGTGTACCATATGATAGTGTATATTTGGCAATCATATTACTGGGACATACGTTTAGCACATTTTCAGATCTAATCGATTTGATCTGAATTTTATAAAATCTTAACTTTGGTGTTATATTATAATTATTTATAGAGTGCGACTAATCTCAGATTAATAGCCATTTAATTAGCAAGGACCATAACGAATGCAATTAATTGCAAAATGCAGCCAAAATATAAATAATGAATTTACTAAAATATTTGGAAACCTATTAAGAATTTCAGTTTTATTTGATATGCAGTAATGGATTAATATAATAAAGAGGAGTAATTTGAAATATAAATAGTTTTTTAGTGATGTTGTTATGTAAGTCTTGATTTAGATGAGTTGAGTTGAAGATTGTGGCACCGGATCTATAAATATATTCGCTGCACATGTACTCTGAAGTGAAAAGATTTCGACAAACACTTTGGATGGCATGAAAGCCTATAATTTTGTCGTTTAGTTATTCATCGATGAAATTCTTAGTTTTTGTTCATAACATCCATCGATTCGTTTTGACAGCACTTCTTCTCCACACTTATATTTATAATCACTTATTATTTTTGTTTGCAAATTGTTTTAATTGTTATTAAACTGCGATTAAAGTGTTTAATCAGTGAAAGTAATTATCTTTATATTAATTATCATCATTTCAATGCGCTGTAAGTCTAAATATTTATTGCGTTTAAAATTTTGAAATATATATTAATTTTCAGTTTAGATTGACTGATTTTAATATACTATTAATAAATTGGATATTATAACATAAACTATTTTACATAATATTACTTAATGAAAGTAATTGAAATGAATGAATAATGACTTGAAAGTAAGAGTTAGTGACAACAATAAGAGCAGATATGCTAAACGACAGAATTTCGAGAATTACATCAATGCGATCATCAGACATGGGATACAGAAGTGATTTTTCTACGAAAACAAACTTAAGAAAAATAGGTCGGATGTATACCAGTCCTTCTCTCGATCGACTCAATTCGTTTGATCGACACATAAGTCGAGGGCTCTCTCGACAGAAGAGTGTATATGACTTAAACCCTTATGAAACTACAAATTCACTCAATTCCTCATACAGTTTAAGAACTTCAAGTTTTAGAACAATGAGAGATCCCGAACCAATTAGTAGGGTTTCAATACCCCGACCCAGACATGTCATCAATGGGACGGATAGGTATTCAAGTTCTTCCACAGCAACACATTCTTTGAGGTCATCGAGAATTACAGACCCTTTGGCTGTATTGGACAGAAGAGACCTATTTTTTAGTCAATTGAATGCAATTTCTTCGCCGACACCTATTCGAAGACCTAAACCCCTGCTGACCAACAGTTCAAATATGATGTCATATAAGCATCACTGGCCAACCATAACATCTCACGACACATGGAGGGCACGATTACGGGAACGACCCCTTCTCTCAAATCTGTCGACAGTCAGGCGCTCAAAGTCTCCGCTATTGAGTTCAGGTATGAATTCGAGGGCGTCTTCGACCACCTCTTCTACAAAATTAGACGAAACCCTAAATTCAGAGGCAGGAGACGGGTCGTATGGTATATATAGAAACCGTTACATAATTAAGTTCAGAGAAAGAGAGCATAATTTAGGACAAACTGCTTCGCAAAGAAGATCATCGATTACATGGGATTTGCCAAAGAGTTTCACTACTGATGTCAAAGCCTCAGACGAGCCGCCAATCAGTGAAGACTCGGAACAAAATCAAGATTTCGAGACCAGAGACGCAGAATCTGTTGCTCCCATTACTGAGAGTAAGCAAAACGAGTCGGTCTCTCAAGTATTTAACAAATCGGATAATTTGGATGAAATTCATAAAGAATTAAAAAATGAGGAAATCATTGAAGAGTTGAGAGTAAAGGAGAATATCATAGATAAGAGCGTTTCAAATGAGTTGCAAACGAGCTATAAAGGCAGTCAACTTGTAACTGATATCCTAACCATTCATACGGCTGTAGTGATGCCGGAGCCAAGTGGAGCACCCATTGGTTTCATACAACAAAAAGCTGTTTCCCTCAAATCTAAAGCACCCAAAGAACAAACCAATAAAACTACAGAAAAAACTCCTAAAAAGAAGAAAGTCAAGAAAAAAGATGTTTTAAAAGGTAAATCAATTGCTTATTCATGTTTCACGAGAATTATTAATTGCTATCAATATTACTTGTTTTGTCAACCAATTAATATTCAGATAAAGATAAAACAACAGTTGAGCCAAAAGTTCAGATCAAATCCCAGGAAAATGTTGTAAAAACAGAGATTCTTGTAGAAAGTGATAAAATTTTGCCAAAAGTTCGCAAAGATTTGAATGAAAATATTGTGAATGAAGTGATTTTAGACAAGAAAAAAGTTTTAGATTTGACGCCAAAGCGAATTAAGTTTAGAAAATATACTTTCGATGACTTCAATCTTCTGAAAGTTCTGGGGAGAGGCAGCTTTGGAAAGGTATCCTAAAATTAATCATTTATAATGTGCTAAGAATAATACAATAATATTTCTTAAAACTATAAGGTATTATTAGCTGAACTGAAGCAGCATTCGGTGTATTTTGCGATCAAATGTCTGAAAAAGCATTCAGTCATTGAAGACGACGACATCGAGAGTATTATGATTGAGAGGAAAGTGTTGGCCTATGGAAGCAATCATCCATTTATTTGTAAATTGTTTTGTACTTTTCAAACAGAGGTATAGATTTTGTGAAATGAATGGTAGAATATTATGTAATTGAAAACATTTGATATGCCAATGGTTTACAGAATTATTTATGTTTCGCAATGGAGTGGTGCTGTGGAGGAGATCTCATGTTTCACGTGCAGAAGAGCGGCAAATTCGATGAAAATAAAGCCAGGTCTGTCTGTCTGTCTGTTCAATATGCATAATTTGCTGCCTCACTAATACCTGTATACCTTATTCAATAATATTACAATAGAGTGTTATGTAACATAGTCCATGTTGCTTAAATTAATAACATTAAATGAATTAATGGATGAGTTCTAGTTAAAATTATTATCAGTATACTGTATATATAACTACATACTTATATAAAAGCATAGTATCTTATTCAAAAAGTGATTTTCATTATAGAATATTATTTAATTTTTAAATTTATTTAAAACTTTAATGAATTGACTTAAAAATTAATATTTTTGTTACAAGAACATTTAAAAATTATGGGTTTTTAAATGAATATTTTAAAACTATCTACCTGGTTCAACTAGGGTAGTAATCATTCAATTATTTTTATCATAGTATACACTGGATTTTACTGTAAAGTATAATAAGTTATACACTTTCAAATACTAACTTACGTGTAGGACAAATATGCTTTTAGTACTTATAATTCTTTCAATTTTGATTAATATATTAATTTGTTTTAGCACTGTAAAAGTTAATTCAGAAATTATATTAGCCAGGTCATAGTGATCGTTTAAAAAGTTTATGTAAATGCTTATTTGCTAAATATTTGTTTAGATTTTTTCTTTTGACATATTTGTGTAAATCGTGTTTCAATCCAAACATTTTCTGTTTATTATTTTCGGTATATTGAGTGATATATGCAACGGATATTGAGTGCAAAGCTCTCATCGAGTTCTACAATAATATTCAATTTATAAGTTTTTCCGTCGCGTCTCACTTTATAGTCTGATGTGTGAACTATTAATAATTTTTCAATTATATTAATAAAAGCCTAAGAATACTATTTACCAGGGGTGTGTTGGATTGAAACTTGATTTAATTGTTGAGCAAGTTAATTCAAATATTTAAAGTATAAGGTATAATATCATTGGTTATACCATAAGATAATCAATGAAAAGCCAACCTACAAATTGTATATTCCTTTGATTACTTTACCTGGTACTTTTTAAGATTATTTTTCTTTATATGAATAATTTAATTTAATTCTTATGATATACATACGTTATCAAAAGAAAAAAGTATACCTGTACCTTTGACTTTATAAACAAGAATACTAACATGTTACTTTACATGCCAAATAAATGCATAAATTAAATGTTTGGCAGTAAAGTTTTCAGTACAAAGTTTGTACTACAAACTAGCACGTTTAGAATGTATTTCAATATCTCTTAAAGTGCAGTTCAACCTCTTTTTAACTGTAATTTATTCTGTTGGCTCTCAATCTGTAATCTACTTTTTCTGCAGTTTGAATATCAGTAAAAGAATATAAATATAACTTTTATAACATTTTAATAGAATAATTATTCAAGTAACCAGGTATCTTATATAAATTAAGCTTTGAATACGGTATAAACTAATTTATTCACTATTACAGTATCTTCTAAACTTCTGTCACATTTATTAAATAATATAACAATATTACAGAGTCTTGAGCCTTAATTTAGAATAAAAGTTCTTGTTAAATTTAATTATTGTATATTATTTTATATTATAACTTACTTGCAAATGATTTTAGTTTTTAATTTGTTAAATTTTCCATCATTAAAACTATGTATTTATATACGATTTTGGAATGACATCATATATGTGTAGCTAATTTTATAATCAAATGTTATCAAATTGAGTTATTTTATACTAGTATAATATGCTTTCATTTAATTATATATTTTTATTTAAATACGAGCACATTATTAAAGATGAGTTTTTTAGATCGATGTTTCGGAGTCACAACACATGTGATAATTATTATACAATCGTTACATAGTAAGAAATATTAGTCAATATTTAAAGTGTTGCCAAAATTTGAAATGACCCAATTCTCATTCATTCTTAAGCAATAAATTATGAACAGTTACTTGTAATTAAATATTCTTGTATTTAGAACTACTTTAGATTTGTTTTTCATTTATTGATTTACATACATTTATAGTTGTTTAACATTTAAAAATGCAAATGTTTATTCGGAAATAATGATTTAATATTTTTATAAATAATATATAATTTTATCCTTTAATAGGTTTTATGCATCAGAAATTCTGTGTGCCGTCGAGTTTATGCATTCAAAAGGCATTGTCTATCGGTTAGAAGATTTCATTTTATAATGTATTGTCCATTTTATACAGTTTTGTCAATTTCATTGTGATTTTTTATTTCATATAGAGATTTGAAATTAGATAACATCATGATAGACCAAAAGGTATGAATTGTTTTTATTTTATTTTTTCAAATGTTTCATACTTTTTATAAATGAATAAAATTTATTAATCAACACATTTAATTAAAGGGACATTTAAGACTTGTAGATTTTGGAATGTGCCTGGGTATGTGTAAATATTATATTGTTATTCATTTTTTATGCATGATTTTATATAAACATTTTATACAATTAAAGGTCAGATATATCGTGAAGACTTGCTTCCGTCTAATTTTTGTGGGACTCCTGAATACATGGCCCCTGAGATTATAAAAGGAGTCAAATATAACCAATCGGTTGACTTCTGGTCTTTTGGTGTTTTGTTGTATGAGATGGTTGTGGGCACCTCTCCCTTCCATGGTCTGTATGTCTCCATTCATAATAACATATCAAATGATTTCTATATTAAAGGCACTGATGAGGAGGAACTCCTGTGGAACGTCTGTTACGAAGAAATCAAATATCCCTTATATTTAAGTGAAAGCATCAAAAGTTTACTAGTTTTGGTAAATACTGTATAAAGTGATTATGTATTTGAGTTATATTTTGAAAAATATTTCTTTTCAAGTTGCTAAGTAAAGCTCCTGAACAACGGTTGGGAATGCCTACCTGTCCAGCCGGTTCAATCCGTAGTCAAACATTTTTTAAAGGTGTTGAATGGACTAAAGTAGAGAAATGCCAAATAAAGGCACCATTTATTCCTGAACTGGTGAGATAACCCATAAAATATGATATGACAAACGTTGTGGTCATAAACTAAACATAATATTTGCAAACCAGAGCTCACCCTTTGATGTCTCCTATTTTGATGAGTATTTTACTAAAGAAGAGCCAAATCTGACGCCTGTTTGTCCGAAAATCACTCAATCAATCGATCAAACATTATTCGATGGATTCAGTTATACCAACCATAAGATGACCGACTGATTGACTCGGCTTTGCATATATTATAGTAATTGTTGTGAATATTTCATAAAACATTAATAACAACACCATATTAGTTGTTATATTTGGTTTTAAGTATATAAATGAATTATTTATTCTGTAAATATATGATTTTTTTGCATTTTGTTTCAATGAATAATTTTTATAATTTATAAAAGTTTTTGCGCCTGTTTTTGTTAATATTTTAAAATTAATTGGAATTTTAATTCAATAAGTTATGAAAAAATTTACATTTAAATTGAATTATTTTTCAAATTATATAAATACAATGAATGTGTGATTTTAATTATATTAATTCTGATTTTGTATTTTAATGAATTTGATTTTTAATAAAATTTAGTGATTTATTCTTTAAAAAAAAGTTTTACTCAAATAAGATGTACAGTAATATTATTAATTTAATGTTACTATAAATGTTATTAAACTCATCTAATTTACCATAAATTGTAGAAAATTTAAAAATATCCTCATTCTATTTATAATATGCTGTATTTAATATCTACTGTATGGTGGAGTGTATGTAACATATTTATTAATAAATGTATGGAATTTGCAGAATAATTATCTAGAAATTGGATTCGCATTTCAATGGGTTTATTACATGAGAGACTTTGTGCACGGAATGGCTTTCTTTTGATTAATGATTAGAAATATGAGAATTGATTCGTTAATCAATCTTCTATTGCACTCAATTAGTGAACAACTAGTGAACTGTTTTGTTAATCTCAATATTTAACATAAGTTTGAGACAAATTTGCTGTTTGTGAGGGTTTATTAGAATATCTACTGTTAGGTCGTGAGTGTGATACGGGTGCGTATGGATCACTATCATTGCCACTATAAGAGCGATGAGAATTAACGGTGGATCCGCCTCCTGATGTATATCCCGTGTAATGATTCTTATTAAGCGATATACGCGACCCATAGTGAGAACTGGGGGTCCAATCGATTTTGTACGGATCGTAATCTTCTATTTCTGACGGCTCTCTCTCTGAAACCTTTTCATCGAAACAAAGTTTAATTTGAAACTCATATATATTTATATCATTTAATACAAATATTACTTCGGTTTTAATACAGGAACAGCTGAGTGATGAACACAAGAATATATTAACCAAAAGCATTACTAATAGCATAATGGTTAACATTATGCAAAGGGCTATCAGCCATGGGAACCTCCATTCTGTGCATTCTTGTAGATAAGATGCGGCTAAAAATTAAGTGTAATTAAACTTTTAAACCTTAATTTGAATCTAAAAATATGAAACTCACAGATTTGAGCTCCGGGTTCAACAACAAACACAGTGGTAGAGGCGAGCAATTGTACGGAATCCTTACTTAATGCCAAATCTTTGTTATCATTTGTCACTTTCAAATCATCACTATTACACTGAAGTTGAGGACAGTTAGCTTTACATAAGACTATATCACATTGAAAGTGAATTTTATTCACTTCAGGAAATCTAAACATTGAATATATGGTGGCCTCAGCGTAATGACTATCATTGTATGTGAAACCGGAGATTATATTCAGTTTTGGACATCTGTCAATCAAATCATTAAAATTATGTCTTAAATGAAATAAAAGGCATATTTATTATATTGAATCGTTACAGACCCATTGGCATCGATTAACTCTACTTCTGAAGTATTGGCTGTAAAACTAAAACAGTTTCTTACGATTAAACTGTAATCATCTGAAAATAAAAATATGAATGATTTACTAATGTTAAGAAATAAAAATACAAAGTATTTATTTGAAAAATATTTCTCAGTGGGAGAGACATTTATTTGGACATATAATTGTCACATAATTAGTTTTGTAATGAAAAATGCGAAACAATTGAATGATTACCGTCAGGACTAGAGATTTCAGCTCTTAGAGTGTATTGATTTCCGTGAACCACTCGAACCACTTTCGATCCCTTATCCAACAGTTTTAGAGAAACGCGTGACAACTCATTGCTGACAAATACAATTTTTCGTCATTTTTATCTTTTTACATTGTATTAGAAAATTGTGCACTTTTTATGCTTTGTTTTGAAAAATAAACACAATTATTTATATCCTAAAAGTCTAGTTATTGTTAAGTCAATGATCGCATCAATTAAAGCTAAACATGACTTAAATATAGCTTCAGTTAAGAGATAAGAATTAGATATAGAGATAAAGTACAGTATATGTATAGTATAGTTATAAAGACAATGTTATCACTTACCGAGCATTTCTAAATCCTGATTGAGAGCACGTTATTATGTAATACTTGTCATCCGACAGCTCTAATGTCTTGTGTACTCTCACTGTCAGTGCAACTGTTCTCTCTTCAGATCCCTATCCCATCAAAAGTGGCGGTTAAGTAGGAATTATATAAAAATATAATTCAAATACATTAATTCAAATTATAACTAAAAGTTAATGAATAATTTTCTAATTTTCAATTCATTATAAAAACCTATCCAGTAATTAAACCTAATTTTAATTTCTAAACTAAAATTTAATAATTAAATTACTAAAAAGTACATAACATTTTTAATTTTTTAAACCATATGTATCGATGATAATACTGGAAATATAAGTAAATAATTTTGATGATATAATAATTAATCGGAAAAGGTGTACTCGATTCAAATACTGTAGTAGATCTATTATTAATAAAATATTTTAAAAGTGTACTGTGTACTTTAAATATTAATTTTTTGTCATTAAATTTCATTCAATGATGTTTAAAAATATGTACCACTAATCCAATAATCAAACCTTAAGTCTGTGGACTCCGCAGAAATTGTTTTCATCAGGTTTTGCCAGAAGATTAATAGTTAGGGTTGTGTTGAGACCTCCATCGCCCGATTGAAGGCACGGACTCTTTCGGAAGTCTCGCGTATGGATAACACCATTGAACGGCTCTTTAGTGATGACAGCAATGTTCATAAGCCCGCGCTCGCACCGGGCGGTCACTGATGGATCAAATTCTTCATCAGTAACTGATGATTGAGACAAAACCTAAAATTGATAGACATTTTGAGTGTTATTTTAAATTTGAATGTTATTAAGAGTGGGTGAAGTGAATTGAAGGTTAGCCTTCATTACAATTGAACTTAAGGTGTTGTTCCACTTTTGGCTAATTTTTCATTGATTTCATTGACTGTTAATTAAAAGTATTTAAATCTTTTCCTTGACATCCGTTGGATTAAAGAATAAACATTCGTTTAAGTAATTCTTATGATTACAATTAAATTACAATATTAGAGATTTATAATTATACAATAATTATAATTATATCTTAAATTAATATGAGTCTATACTTTATTTGTCTATGATTGAATGTTATTTTAATTTATGTTTGTAAAATATATCAAATTATTGTAAACAAACAAAAGTTAAATTAAATTTAAAATAAATATGTTTTTTATACTAAAATTTATAATAAAATTAATTATTAAACAAAACTTACAAATGCTATGAATTGAAGCGAAAGGAAGGCATGAAGTAATGAATTGAAGTAATTATGATGAGAATATGTTTGAAATAATAAATTCATGTTTGAATTCTGATGAACAACTCAATCTCATAATCAATTTCAACAAACTCTACATTTCTTTTTCCAATAATTGTTTTAATTAAAGAATTGACCGAAAAATGGTAAAAACAATAAACAGCGTTATGTGAGGCACTGGTACTACAGATGTCTGTCTGCGGGACAACTGAAACTCAGAACTACTGATTCGGAACAACACTATCTCTATAACACTCTCTCCTTACCTGCGATAACAGGTTTTCAGTCCTCTATTATTGCGTTTTCATTCACACTATACTAACCTAATAGTAAAACTAACAGATGCTCGAGTCTTGGGCTCGAGCTATCAGCAATGTACTTTTTGAGCTTATAACTATTGATTAACATTAAAAAACTTAATAAAACTTTAAAACTTCTCAATTTATTGTTAGCTAAAAGATGTTTATATAATAAATATAAGCAACAAATGATTTTAGAAGATATCGTGAATTGGTGGTAAAACTCGAGATCAGTGGTGACTCGTTATCATCACTAGTGACCCACAAACAAAACTTTCCACTTTTGGTTCAAGTGTTCAGATGGTGTCCCACACACTACTCTTGATGCTATACAACGCGATTTCATTGAAGATTTTATTTTATGTTTTTTTAAGAAAAGGNGATCAGTGGTGACTCGTTATCATCACTAGTGACCCACAAACAAAACTTTCCACTTTTGGTTCAAGTGTTCAGATGGTGTCCCACACACTACTCTTGATGCTATACAACGCGATTTCATTGAAGATTTTATTTTATGTTTTTTTAAGAAAAGGACAAAATTGGCGTTCAATCAACACTTATGTTGTCCCCCAAAACAAACTCTAAAATTGTATTAATAATATATTATTGTATATTAAATTTATATAGTTTAAATAAGAAGTAACTTTTGTCTTTTAAAATTTAGTGATATCATTATGACAATTATAATAGAAATTCATAATTTAAATGTTTCAATAATCAAAGAATTCAAATGTTTGTTAACATTCATAAGTGATAATGAAAAAGAATAATTATATTTTACAACTAAATATAGTTTAAAATAAAATTTCTAAATATTTAAACAAATTTTTATCATATTTCTATTATACTATATATCTGATATATTATATCATATACTGTAGTAACTTTATGTAAAATATTTATTTTATTAATATTTAAGAAAATAAATTAATAAATCAAGTTTTATACAACATGTTTCAGAAAAGATAATTAAAATTTTAATTGTAATTATAGATAATAAATTACAGTTAAAAAGAGGTTGAACTGCACTTTAAGAGATATTGAAATACATTCTAAACGTGCTAGTTTGTAGTACAAACTTTGTACTGAAAACTTTACTGCCAAACATTTAATTTATGCATTTGGCATGTAAAGTAACATGTTAGTATTCTTGTTTATAAAGTCAAAGGTACAGGTATACTTTTTTCTTTTGATAACGTATGTATATCATAACAATTAAATTAAACTATTCATATAAAGAAAAATAATCTTAAAAAGTACCAGGTAAAGTAATCAAAGAAATATACAATTTGTAGGTTGGGTTTTCATTGATTATCTTATGGTATAACAATAACCTTATACCAATGATACCTTATACTTTAAATATTTGAATTAACTTGCTCAACAATTAAATAAAGTTTCAATCCAACACACCCCTGGTAAATAGTATTCTTAGGCTTTTATTAATATAATTGAAAAATTATTAATAGACAGACTATAAAGTGAGACGCGACGGAAAAACTTATAAATTGAATATTATTGTAGAACTCGATGAGAGCTTTGCACTCAATATCCGTTGCATATATCACTCAATATACCGAAAATAATAAACAGAAAATGTTTGGATTGAAACACGATTTACACAAATATGTCAAAAGAAAAAATCTAAACAAATATTTAGCAAATAAGCATTTACATAAACTTTTTAAACGATCACTATGACCTGGCTAATATAATTTCTGAATTAACTTTTACAGTGCTAAAACAAATTAATATATTAATCAAAATTGAAA